CGTTTCAATGAACTGAAACAATTTATATTTGCCAGGAATACAGTGACGATAACGAGGTCATAAAATTTTTCATGTCAAAGTCGAAGCAACAGACATTTTGCTCTTGTTGTGTTCTACGTGCAAACACTCGATAAAATATTACGAATATTGAAAAAAAAGTCCACACTGTGTCTTCAGTTTTTCTGCGATTCAAAGAAATCACCTTCCGGAATGTTACTCCGTTGGAAATTTTTTATCGAGTGATCCAGTCATTGTAATACTAAAATGGTAAGTAAAATAAGCTTGCATAGCGTATTAAGGGGACGACGTGAATTATATTTAATTGTTTAATCGTTTCGAAGGGATACAATACTGCTTTGAAATAGGGGAGGAGACCGGATCGCGTGCAGAGAAGCAATTTTATTAAAGCCGACCGTGACACGCGAGGAGGGAAAAAAAGGGAATGAAAAAGGATGCGAAAGTGGTCGTGATAACAGACAAAGGTGTGTCTCTTATTAGTCACTAACCTCCGATGTAATAAAGCCTAAAAGGTTCCCCGAGGCCATCGAGGCTCGTTCCACTTCGAATGTAGCTCATAATATAGCTCATAAATTTATGGTTTATGTTCCACAGAGAGAGAGAGAGAGAGAGAGGAAAGAATCAAACAAAGCAAAATTGGCAAGAACCTCCCCCCCAAAGAAGCGTGGAAGAACTGCGTGCATTGATCCTAGGTTTCATAAAACCTGTATCAGAATCAGTTCGCCTCCGTACACCGATTCTTCAGTTTCACAAACGTTGAAATCGTCGATTGGATCGTCTTCCAGCTTTAATGTTACAGCTGTTAGGTAATAATAGAAGGTTCGTTATTACTTACAAAAAAAAAAAAAAAAAAAATTTAGAAAGAAATTAAATACTAAAAGAAAATGGGCAAAAAGAAACGGTTAACCTAGAGAAATAGATTTTCCAATTCCGCGACGAGACAGGAAGACACCACATCATCCAGCGGTGGACATCTTGCATTTTACCTGTCACAGAGGCTCTCACGACTCGATCGAGGCAAAAAGAAAATAATAAGAGACCCGCGACCTACGACTCGTGTCGTAAAGTGACTTTCATACGTGCACAAATATTTTCATAAACAGCGGTTAATATAATTATCGTAACTAGCGAGATAGTACCATTTCTTTCTTACTTTTTCTTTTGTTTCGCGAGGCGAACGCGAGGAACGACTCGCAAAAAAGAAAGAGGACTTCGAAAGGTTCGACTCCGGTCTCGAATTGGGAACTCGTTTCCGTCTGACCAAGACCTCGGCAAACTCATTCGAGGTGCAGTTACGGAACAGGTGTACACCGCTCGCAGCTGGCGCGGATCGTTGACCTAGCCGGCACACTTTACTCAGAAGGCGAACCCTCTTGCTTTTACTTTTTCTCGAAAGACCAATGTCAGCCATTAACCTCTTGCGCTGGGAACGACGACAATTTTTTCGTTCCAAAATTGTAATATTTTCTCAGCTCGAAGTATATTCAAAGTAAAACAAAATAGGAGAAACAAATAATAAGTTTGTTACTTCTCAATAATTTCTATCCAGCGATATCGTCAGCGACAAGTTCAAAAAGAAAGCGACGAGTTATTGTCATTGTACGGTCATTTGGTCACTCGTTATGGTCCGCAATCAGTTGCCAGCCTTCGGAGTCATTTTTGACCCGTGTCGAGAGCTACTCGAATACAATAAACGCACACAGTGACAGGAGCTGCTTGGGTTAGTAGCTGAAACCTGATCGCACCAACACACAAACCAAGTGGCTAACACGTGTTCGCCAAAGTGCCGAAGTGACGACGACTGAAAACAAAGAAATCAGTTTCTGGTAACGCTCCGAGGAGGAAACACGTGTGCAGCAAATCGAAGCAATTTTGTCCTTTTTATTACTTTTTCCCGTTGTTTCTATTTGTCGTTTCCATTTGTTGACGCAATGTCCTCATTGCCAACGAGCAATATTTCTTTGTCTTCTTTCGCTCAATGTGCACAAGACGTTCCTGACAGTGAACAAACATCAGACAACGGAAGTGTATCGAATAGTGACGCTGAATTCGAAATGCAAGATTCCGAAGTCGAAACGCAAGAAGACAATGTATCAGAAACTGTGGATAATGTAGTTCCAGAAAACCAGGAATTTGGACGTAATTGGCAACGTATTGGAGCTAGCAAGGATACAGCGATTGTCTCTTGTCAATGTATAAATATAAATAAACATAACATTATTATTCATGTGATTATTATTTGTTCCTATATGCTCCTGCGTGTTCCTATACGAGTTGGGCGTCTGTCACTGTGTTGGTACAATATCGGTGAGGACGTCGGTCTCGAGCGACCGTCACTCTGTGTTAGTACAGTATCGGTGAGCCACTCGGGCGATCTAAATATGTGTTAGTGGAATATTAGAAATGACTCCGGCACGGGACTGCGAGTTTCGGGCTTCCGAGGGTTAAGAATACTTTAGTTTCTTTCAATTTGCGGACTCTGGCTAAAAGAAACGGAGACGAAAGAGACGTGAAATTCCATTTCTTAACTGTACAACACCGAAGAAGACTATCATAAATAAGCGATAAATTCCAATGTTTGCAGAACTGTTCGAGAAACGCCTCTTTGCTCGTTGACCGAATTCAAACGCGAGCAGTTAGAATTTTCGAGCACGAAACTCGTCGAGAATGTCGAGGAAACCATACAACTGATGATAATTCACAGCCGCCCGCCCACACCTTCATTTGCGCGCAATCGTGATTTCGGAGGCCACGTGGGCGTGCATCGCTTTTTCTTCGCCGCTAAAACGACCGTATTGTCAAAATCTACATTTCCAAGAGAAATCTGTGCATGGTGGAACTTTGTTTTATCCAACCGTTCGGATAATAAAGGCTCACCAGCAGCTTTCTTTGTATTCTTATTCATTCGTATAATAAGAGGTAGTAGACAAAAATAGCAAAAGTTTCAGGTCAATTACGAGTTCGTATATCTGCAGAACTTTCTACCTTTCTTCTTTCTGGGTCCCTTTAATTAAAGATAATCTAATTTTGAAACAACGCGAGAAAAACTTGAAAATTGCAAAGGCAAATAAACTTTGAGTGATCGAAAAATGAAAGAAAAAAAAAAGACCAGATTGAAAGAGAGGAATTACAGTAATTTACGATTTTGTTGAACATCAGCATGTACAAAATAAACGAGAATAGTACGCGATTCGAGTGACAGGAGGCGCTTGGCGTCGTAATTCATCGGAAACGTGGTTCTCAAGGTAAAGAAGATCGCCCGGTTATCGACGACCACTTGTTCGAACAGTCTAGTCTCCAATTCAAGATTCTTCTCACAAACGAGAAGAATCTTACCTACCCTGTTTTCAATTTGTACGTCGCGTTATTCGTTGGTCGTTCAATGGATCGATCGTTGACACGGTGTTTTCCAAAAAGCGAGAAACATCGAGGGTTCGACGCCGAGAAAACACACACCAAAAAAAAAAAAAAATAAGAGTGTTACGCGAGAGATGACGCAATCGGGGACCAACCAACGCGTCGCGTAATCCGATCAGCGGGCAGGGAACCTGGCCGAAAGGGAAAGTAGCGCGGAGGCGAGCGGTAAATTTTCCAACAAAGAACGGCCGATCCAGCGGTACAACACTCGGCCACGTCGAGAAGCGACCGGACACGGAATGCGAGCTGCAAGTGCAAAACGCGTTTAGCCCACGTCCGCGCATAGCCGAGACGCACGCACACGCCGGTGCTGCACACTGCGGCGCGACGGTGCAATACCGACGGAGCAGAGTCGAATCGGGCCGAGCCAAGACGAGACGAGGCCAAGACAAGCCCTCTCGACGACAAAAAAAAAAAAAAAAATGGAGAATCGCGGTGACGTCAGTCCGGGGTGTTGCATCGACGGGGATGCATAATGCGCATCCGGCGCGTATCGAGAAATCGACACGGGCTGCTGCCACCGCTGGTATTGTCTTGGCCTGCACGGAGTCGACCGTTTTCTCTGTTTTCTCGATGAATTGAAACGACTATGTTTCACAACTGTACCGACGAATCTGAGTCGACTGAATTTGAAATAATATAGCTTTGCGAAATGAGGTCACAAAAGGAGCTCAATAAGGATTCTGATCTCATTTTATAAAGAGTAATATAAGTAATGTAGTAATATAATAAGTAGTATTAGCGATGAGGATTTTGGTCTCACTTTAAAACGTAAAGCCTCTACACACTACTTTGACAATCGCCGAGCTAGTCTCTTTTTTCGAACGTGATTTGACACCCTGAGACTGATTGTCGAAATTCGAAACTCGTAAGAAAATGCGATTAACAATAACGAGAAGTCTTTACGTTCGAGTCCTTACTTTGCTTGACGATCGAAGCGCGTTAGACACGCCGGCCGGTCAAAGACAACTTTTTCACTATAGTGCAACACGGCTGAGATTAATTTTCTACATCATTCAATTTCAACGCAAAACGAAACAAAGGAGGAAAGAAAATCTCGGAAAAAAAAAATTATAAGAAGATGCGATAGAGAGAGTAAAAGTTGCTGACCTTTTAACTGGAGAGGTATTTTACCAAAAAATGCATTCTGTGCGCGACAAATAAATTGTGACAAAGTTAATTCGTCATTTGCCCTCGGTAAGTGTAAAAAGATACAATTTGCACTTTGCGCGAAATAAAGGTGGAAAAATATCGGAAGATATCGTGAAAAAATACCAAAAAATATCAAAAATATATACATATATATATATATATATATAGGTATTTTTTTTTTTTTTGGTATTTTCTTTGGTTTTCTTACACACACACATATATATATATATTTTTTTGTATTTTCTTTGGTTTTCTTACATATATATATATATACATGTAAGAAATATATATATATACACACATATATATATTTTTTTTTTATATTTTCTTTGGTTTTCTTACATGTATGTATATATATCTATATACGTTCCTCGAAACGAAAGAATTAATAACGTTGCGTGCATTCTACTCACCCTGTCCTGAATCCTGACGTTCTCCTGACCTCTTTTTAGGCTAGGAGCCCGCAGGACCTTGCTCGTAACTGGTGGTTCCATCATGGCGACAGACGTCTGTCTCTCTCTCTCGCTCTCTCACCCAGTCGTCAGGAGTTCATTCCTGAAGGAAACTCGATTCTCTCACTCCATGTTCTGCAATCAAAAAGAGACAAGACAGAATAAAATACCGGTGTCGGAAGACAGGAATTCGCGTCGCGTGAAAAGAAAAACCAGCATGTCACCGATCAGCGACTCGATCGACGATAAGTAGCGATAAATCGTTGGGCGAAAGTAAGAGTAGAGGTTTGCGCGTTTCAGTTCGTATTCACACACGTCTCTCTCTCTCTCTCTCTCTCTCTCTCTCGATCGTGGGAGACGAGGAAACCCACGCGAATTCCCCGGTTCGACCGGTACAGCTGACGGTTGAAAACGCGAGGAATGGATAACGGTATGCATCGGAGGTAACGGAAGATAATGCACGAGCACAAGGATTCCTCGAATATCGACCTCGCCTCTCCATTTCCCTCGCGAACGCACACACATAAAAGCCGGCCACGGACGTCGTATACCGATTCGCATCGCCAGAGACGTTTCGATCTCTGGCTCGATCGGTTCCCTTCTTCTCCGTCGACCGTGAACCACGAGGAACGCACCGTCGGTGCAGAGGTTGAGAGAAGGGGCAAGAGTATGGCTTCCCATCGGCAACAGAAAGCAGTTTAGCCGTTTTAGGTGACGCGAAATCGATAGAGCGCGATATTAATCCCTAGTTTCTTAGAGCGGTGTCAGCAAGTATACGTAGTAGGTACACGTGATGAACGACGGAGCCACCGGCCGGCAATTCTACGAACCAGATTCGGGTTTTACTATTTGGTGGATTCGTTGACGATCGGTCGATACCGATTGAATTTCGTCAACGGTCGGATGCAGGGTGAATATGTGAGCGATGGCCCACCTTTTTTAAAGAGAATTATTACATCTTGAATATATAATCGATATCTAAAATATATATATATATATATATGTTTGTGAAAATGTAATTATATATTTACAATATATACATAATAATACAATGCAGTGTATATTTACATATATTTGTGAAAATAGATACATATAAATTTATAACGTTACCAGCAGAAAATTAAAAAATAATCGTGGACTCACAAAACATAGATTCTTACATGTATAATTATATATCAAAACATATTTGTAAAAATAGATACAAATTTATAATGTTACAAGCAGAAAATTAAAAAATAATCATAGATTCTTATATGTATAATTATATATTAATACATATTTGTAAAAATAGATACAAATTTATAATGTTACAAGCAGAAAATTAAAAAATAATTATAGACTCACAAAACAAAAGAAACATACTTTATACTCAATTGGCACGATTCTCTAGAAAAATATTTACCAACTGTTATGCACAATGTCATAATGATGGGCCATCTAACATGATAGTCTGTGAATGATGACATAACTCACTTGTTCTTTTTATAGTTGTCAATAATTGACAACATCTCATTATGGAAAAGTAACTGTAACCTCTAAACACTACATTAATTAACACACTGTATAAAAACACTCCTATATAAAAATTGATAAAAATTTACTTTTTAGTAAAATGTTAGTAAATTATAATTCAAAGTACCAGCAGAAAATTTCTGAGACTATTATACACAACTTGTACTTTTTATTATGTGTCAAACATAACCTATCTTACTTCTCAAATGAAAACAAACAAAAAGAATGGTTAATGTAGCTTATGATCAAGATACAATGTACTACTAGAGAAAGCTGAAAATTGACATTTTATATATTTAAAATTCATTTGATTTATATGATAATAACAATACAATATAATAATAATATAATAATGTAATATATAATTATAATAATATAATATAATTATAATGTATGTATATATTATAATTTATATTACAATAATAATATAATATATAATATAATTATACTTATATTGTAATAATATAATTATGATGTATGTATATACTATGATTTATATTATAATAATAATATAATATATAATATATAATATAATTATACTTATGTTATAATATAATATATTATATAAGTATAATTATGATGTATGTATATATTATGATTTATATTATAATAATAATATAATAATATAATATATTATATAAGTATAATTATGATGTATGTATATATTATGATAATAATATAATAATATATTATAATAAATTTATATTATATATATTTTTAATATATACACACGTGATGTATATCATGCAGTATAAACATATATAATTCTACAGAACTTTACAGAAGACTGTACGATTATTGATATTTAAGACAGAAGAAGCAGAAGCAAGCGGGCAATAAAATATCAAATACAAGTACGTGATAACGTGTACCACTCGTGCCACTCGAGGTAATTACAGGCGGTGCTCGAGAGTACGCGTAACCGACGCGAGTTCGTTGTCGGGAGGATTTATGAGGTGCAAGGGCGGTTGAGGAGAAGACACGAGCTGGTGTCTCACGGCTCGGGTTGGCAGCGTTAAACGCGTCTTTAACAGATCGTTGATGAGGTTTGTCCATTAATACGTATCCCCGATGTCGTAACTCGGCGCACGACTGCTGGGGACTCGTCCGACGAGAAGGGCCTGGCCCGCGTCCAAATATTCGAAAATCGAGGAAACGAGCAGCCCCTCTGCTGGATCGGATACATCGTCAAGATTCGAAAGTTACGCTCCGTCGAACTTTCCACATATAACTTCCGTGCAAACGTATATTATCGCTGGCTGCCGATCATCTCGTCTCTTCTCCAAGAAACCAGCGATTTTCTCCCGACTCGATTCGTGTTGTCGCCTTTTGTCCCTTCCCTCTCGCGACTCCGTGATCCAGGGATGAAACTTGGCGAGGGTGTACCCGTCAGAGATAACGAGTACGAAACCGCTATTTTATTCCGGTCGAGTTTCTGGCACCGAGTCAAAGATCCTCCTCTGTCTCTCTCTCTCTCTCTCTCTCTCTCTCTCTCTCTTTCTCTCCTTGGACGAAAAAACTGGAAGCTAGTATTCGGGTGTGACACGATCTCCTGAATATTCCACAGGATGTGATCGAGGAATCGCCATCGATCTCAATTGCCTGTTACGTGACTCTTCTTAAATATATAAACGTTTCATCGGTCGAACAAACGATATAAACAATAACGTGAACGGATGCTTCCGATTGCTTCTGTCGACGAATTTAGGGTGGAGTTAACGAGGAAGCGAAGCGACGCCCCTTGTTTCTAACGTCCATCCAAAAGTCCATCATCGTCGTCGAAAGGCGTCCCGCATGGCAAATGGTGCATCACTCGAGTATCTATTCTTTCAGTTCGGAAGGACGGTAAGGCTGTGTCACGTGCTGGACACTTATTCGATTCACTAGGTCAAATAATAGCGGTCTATTAATTTCGATGGTAGCAGACGTACGACATTTAGCACGCGAGAAGGTCAAGAAGCTACGTTCACTTCCGTTTCTTCGTCAACAACGTGCTCGGATCGGCTCTTTCATCGATAGACGAAGCAACCGTGTCTGTGCTAGAGCCATCACTTTTGAGATAATTGTGACTACGTGTCACTCGGATGTGTGTGTACAGTGTAATTTTATTTTAGGAAATAAATGACGAAACAACGAGGCAATTGAATTAGATGTATTTGTGTAAAAAATACTGACAAGTGCACTTCTGCAGCACTAGATTTAGGTTAGGTCAGGTTAGATTAGGTTAGGTTATACATCTGCCTTGTTTTACCAATTAATAGTATTTTTCCAGTTGTAAAAAGGCACGCATAAATACCCTCTGGCAAATTATAATTTTGTTATTTGTCATAAAGACAGAAATTACTTGAAACATCGGGTAAAATTGTAATCGAGGGGCCAAATATCCGAGTCGAGTGGTAATAACTCTAACCTCAATTATTTCGTAAGACATCCGGGTACCACAAGTTGGGAACCGCTGCTCTGGACGAACAAACACTGTCGAAAAAAGGCCGAAGAAAATTATTTCGAGTGAAAGAGACTTTTTTCCGCCCTCGAGGAGAGATAAAATTAGCCTTAGCGCGAAACGGGCGAAACAAACGGGGGAGAGCTTTTGCAGCCAAGCAACAAACAGCCGGTGTTACAATAGCGAAGCGCACGACTGGGAAAGCAAGAGCGTATTGCTCGGAGATTTTAATTACCGAAGATAATGTCCGACGGCCTAGTTCGCGAATCGGTCCTCTGCATTAGCACGAGATTTTGGCACATTTCCATTTGCGTTACAGCTAGTCAGCCGACCGCGAGCAGACCCGATTTTGCTTGCTCGTAAACTAAAACGTTCACCGGCTCGCGAGAGTATTTAAAACGTGAGATATACTTGCAGTGGAAATGAACGCAGAATCTCCAGGATAATAGATATCTTGAATTGTTAATTTCATTAAAAGTTATGACAACCAGTACAAAATTATGAATCACAAAAGTATACACAGTAGTTACATTAATATGTATTTATTTATATATATATTAATATGTTTTATATATATTTATTACATAAATACATATTTATTTATATATATATGAGAATTAAGTGCATTGTTAATTTCATTAAAAATTTATGACAACCAGTACAGAATTATGAATCACAAAAGTATACACAGTAGTTACATTAATATGTATTTATTTATATATATATTAATATGTTTTATATATATTTATTACATGAATACATATTTATTTATATATATATGAGAATTAAGTGCGTTGTTAATTTCATTAAGAATTTATGACAACCAGTACAAAATTATGAATCACAAAAGTATACACAGTAGTTACATTAATATGTATTTATTTATATGAATATGTTTTATACATATTTATTAAAATTAATATATATTTATTTATATACATATGAGGATTGAGTGCGTTATTAATTTCATTAAAAGTTATGACAACCAGTACAAAATTATGAATCACAAAACTATACACAGTAGTTACATTAATATGTATTTTTGGAACTTTCGGTTAGAGAGGCCTAATCTAACCTAACCTGTAAGAAGCCTCTATATCTTTCGCTTTTATCACTTCTCCATGAAAGATACTAACTTCGAAGCAATATTTACATCAGTGGATTGCCATACTTGTGAGTT